CAAATCCATAATATCATAGAATTATGTCGCCAGAAAGCCAGTGCAGCTATCGTGCTTAAGTAATACTCCCTAGTCCAAAACGCATTTCGGAATTTCAGCCAAAATTTCCTGAGATCGGTCACCCACTGTACTAGAAACTTGCGTTATTTGGAAGCAGCTTACATACGGAGAGAGAAACCAGACCTGTGCAAGCAGTTAGATCACGTAATCAACCTGCAATTGCCCTGGTAATCTCACGCCTCTAGTTTCCCCTGACTGTGATTTGTTGTTAACATTTCGTCTCGCTCCCTTTCCTATATGACGCTTATGTGGACGTCTTATCTGATTATTCATTGCCTTGAACCTTGACCTTTCTCTAATGCACAGCCACTCTGTACAAATTTCATACTGCTGTGGGCTTTCATTCGTTTCTTATATTATGCAGAGACGGGCTGCAGTTGAAAAGCCGTCACGATATTTTTTGGCCCCAAAAAAAGTCTGCTGTATATGCTTGTTTTCAAAAATGGCTTTGGCACGGCGTTTTGCTGATGGAGACCGACACCTTGCAATATTTTTTTAATTATGTGAAAGGAAAATATTTACGGGTGTTTCATGTAAATAACCTTACAGGGCAAGTTATGGTTCATTTCAATGCCCGACAAATGAAATCGTCGTCTTGCTTGACTGTGGACCGTTTCGATCCACCCTGCCTAGTTCCAGGCATTGTGTTATTATTATTAATAATTTTCCATCGAGTGACCTGGTTTATTTTGAAAATACCGGCTAGCGACTCGTGCGGCAGCTCTTCGACTGCCAATTTTAATATCTATTTAAAAGCAAATTCCGATAGGAACCGTTGTGGCATCTTTGTGGCAGCATTCAGCGCGAAATCTATATGTTTGCGTTTTTACGCCTACTACTAAGGTTTACTGAAACACAGACCGAATAAAAACTTATTACTGCGTTAAACGATAAAAACGTTACAGTTTTTCTAAATAAATTTTGAAAGGAAATAGTATTTCTCGATTTATGAGAATAATGTGTTTTTACACACTTGACTCAGTCTGTTTTTATTCAGTTAATTTAACGATTTTGGTTCCCAAGGTGGTCTCCCTTTGATATTTTCTTCATTATATGAACGTTTCCTTACAACGTAACGCGTATAATTAAGAGGTTTTAATAGGGGATACTTATTAGAATAGGAAATTATGTGAATGGCCGGAGACGTCAAAATTTGCCTTATTTTGGTCCGCTTCTACTCACTAAAACTGAACTAACACAACTTCTTCTTTAGAACACGGTTTTTTTGGATTCACAACAATTATAAATACAAAAATACCAGCATAAAATATGTGCCTTCTCCTCAAATCAAATGCCGGTTTCGATATATCATGGGTAAGGTCATATACTGTATGTTATGAGCCGCCGACTGTTCTATGGCCAAGAGATAACCGATCCAAGAATGCAAAGTATCATCCGTTTGTTTCTGTCTATTTGCGGAAACGGGCGTGATTTGCAACATACCCAAGAGGATATATAATTTCGGGATTGTTCAAGGGTAACTAGCATGTCGCTGTTTCATATGCTGCTAGGTGCCAAATACAAGTGCCGTTAGTTTACAAGTAATATGCCATGGGTTAAAAAAGGGCAATGTTTCGTTTTAAGCAATATTAGTGCTTGTTCGGGCGGATCAGTTTTCGCTACAAGGTCTCATGAAAATCGGATAAACGTGAGTACGGAAAATCTTCCAAATCACTGTAAGACAATAAAAATCTGAATAAGCATCCGTTTGGCTGGGTCTTTGGTAGGGTTACTTTTCAGTCCAACAACTGTCCTTGGTGGAAGTTGTAATGGTTGACAGAAGCCTTGTCACGCATGATTTGTGTACCAAGAGCGCTGTCGTTCTGTTGACGAATATTTGTCAGTACTTGAAAATTCGCTCATCAATTTAGTGAATCAGCGTTTCAGTGTTGGTCTGTAGGCTTGTTAAAGGGTCCGAAAAACCTTTCAGTCATCATACGAGAAAGGATAATTGAATGCCCTTGGGTAGTACGTTGTTACTTCGCGCACGCAGAACGCCTGCAGTTGGAGGTACTGCGAAGTCCAAATGATGGTACAAGGAGCAGGGACATGCAATAACATGAATTGTGCGAAATAGTCCCTGAAATATGGTGCCATATTGGTATCAAGTAGCAACCATTTCTTCCCGGAACTGTTGTTTTAACTGTGACATGGCTGTGTTTACTGTAAAAGCGGGGCTAACTAGGCCGCCCATTTTCGTATGTGGACACTGCATATCGTTACATGCAAAGGTTCTCATCGAAACTTGGAACTGAAGCAGTTCCGTCTGTCGTCTGAATTGTCGAAGGAAGGTCTGAGAATAACTGTTATTGAATCTCCTATCTTATTTTCCTGGACGGTACGACGCGTAAGCCATCACGATATCGTTAGACGGCGTATGTCAGAATGTCTCTAGGTAATATAACTGCCTAAAGAGACCGATTTACGCGTAACTATTTGAGAGACATGAGGTTTACCTACCACCTAAAATCATTTTTTCAATGTTCATTAGCAACGTATATCTGTTGGCGGAAATAGTTGAACGTTGCGAGAAATGAGCTCGCAGCTTCCACGTTTTATTGCTATATTATTCACCGACGCCATATTTACCAGTGATGTGACCTGATCGATGCGACGGAGACAGTGGGAGGGATATAGACACCTGTAATTAGGAATTAAACGAACAAGATTTTTTTCACAACAGTCTATCATTCCTGGCACACATTGGAAAGAATGAATAGCGAATGTTCCAAGATGTGAAAACTAAGCTTTATTTACTAGAATTTTTCAAAGTAAAAGTGCTTAAGTCGTCAGATTGAAGCGCAACCCATTTTTCATCCATAATAAACGGCAATAAATGCAGCGCCACGTTTCAACCGTTTGGGAACAATTGTGGAATACACCACTAAAGCGAAAGGTGCCATAACTTATTTTTAATTAAATAATCGCTCTAAGCCAAGCGTTTTGTGATCATTAAGACTCTTACAATGTTATTGTGTTTTATTGCAGACTGCTCCTTAATGTCTCCACTATACTAATTTTTCACTGGCATTGACGGTGAGAATAAAAGAAAGTAGACTTTCTAAATTACTAACGACACGGGCTTACCATTCTTCGTTAAGTACACTGGTTCTGAGGCACCAGTTAACCTGAGTATACGACGGGTCGCGCCAACCAGTCAGTCAGTCGGACTGTACACCCATCCTGCTCACTGTGATGTCCTATGAAGTGGGTTAGTTCTGTTTGTCAGAAAATAGATTTACACGAGATGACCTGCGGAGTTCAAATTTAGTCTTAATTATTGTTTTTAAACTCCTTGCATGTCTGGGTGTCGCAGACCAGACGGAGGCGCGACAGCCTTGGTCTTAGTTCACCAGTCCATCATTTAAAATACACACATAACTGGACAGATTGTCTGGAATTTTTTGGGGCGCCGGTCACCCGCCTACCATGCCACTGCGCAAATGGCACTATGATAGTCTCAAAATCAAATCGCACATGCAGCCATATGAAGGAGGAGGAGGAGGAGGAGGAGTCAAAACACTACCCACGAGAGGGGGGAGTGCGTAAATAAATGGTGGTGGTTGTGCTGGATGCTGCGGTTGATCTGGCGGTTGGGGCGAGGCGGATAGTGGCGGCGGCGGGGCAGCGACTGCGTGATCGGTGGTGACGGGGCGACGGTCAGCGCAGGGTTTGCGGCAGGGTCGTTGGTGAGAGAAGTTTTGGACGTTGTCGGGCTGATGACGCTTTTTGGCTGAAAATTTCCAATAAGACCGATTTGCTCATGTTTACTCGTTTGGCAGTAGAGAATCTAGGATCAACTCTAACCGCACATAATAATTTCAGAAGTCAGGAAATGGGGCTCTGAACAGGTTGCTACGCTTTCATTGCAGAGGAGAAATATTATGGTAATAAAAAATAGACTGTTTTTGTTAACTTTGTTTTAGGCTAAGTGCAAGGTCAACAGCATACAAAATGCTCGGATAAAATGACGTAAATTCTTATCCATTTCTACTGGAGGTCATAGCATATACATTTTATATATTTCCAGAACGAAAATACAGTATGTGTAGCATGTTCTGTGACCTAGGATAAGCAGAAAGGCCAGTCTTCTCAAACGTGCCTCTTCAATGTGTTAACCGTTTTGAGGACTTCAGTACTGATGGCCTGCGGCTGGATAACATTTAAGATAATAGTTGTAAACGCACAAAGCATGGATTGTCAATGAATTCATTTAAACAACATTCACGGCAAATGCATTTGTTTATGCGTATTTAAAAAAGTGTTTATGGTAATTTTCATATTACAAAACTATGCGACACGCAGGTATCTAATGGTTTACAAAACTTTTGCATTTTCACTCTTTGTTAGGGCCTTTCGTGGTCCAGCAAGGTCCTATAAGAACTTAATGCGTTGTCAATATAAGCGAAGAGACAAATAAAAGGAAGCAGTCGTACGGAAGGAGACGTGATTGCTATGGCAGACGTTTTCGTCTGTCGGTCGGTGTTATTGGGCCTGAGTTTCTTTTCTCCTTTTTCACAACGCCATGCGTCCCCGAGAGAGGGCATTAAATTTGAAACTATTTTGCACGTGAAACTTGGTTTGACGTTGGTTTTATTACGTTGTTTTGCGTATTCACAGACCCTGTATTTATTGGTATCTGTTCCACCGAACCAGGTCGCGTATTATTCCTTACGATAATTATCAGCGACTATGGAGAAATCATTATAGTTGACGTCTCCAAAGCGATTTACCAGAGCGTATACCACATTTTTTTGGAATTCTTTTAACTGAATGCTCTGAAATAATGGCGCGATGAATAGGGCAGAACGACTGGCCACCAAACCGACCGCTGCTGCATGGCAAGCTTCAACGGGCAGCACAAAATTCACAAACATACTGTCCCTCTTAGCCCAATCGTTATTTTGCGCGGGACACTCGCATTCAACCTGGCCAAATGGATGTTCCGACACCTGAACTGCCTCACCCCGGGCTCCGAGACGACGGGCCGCTCATCCGTTCATTACCTGGAAATACTGAATGAACTGCACATAAACACAGACGATGTCATGGTGTCGTTCGTTCTAACCTCGCTTTTTACCTCGATCCCAAAAGATTTGGCAGTTGAAACTCCCAGCGACCTCCTCGACAGCCAATTTGCAGAGGCAAGCAATACAACTAGGCGGGGCCACCTAATGCAACTGCTTAAATACTGCCTCCAAAAGTTTCTCATCTTTGAAGGGACTGTGTACGAGCAAATAAAAGGTACGCCTATGGGCTCACCACTATCTCGTTTCATCGCTGAAGCTGTTCTTTAAATTTTGGAGACGTTGGTATTCACAAAATACAAGCCAAAATGTTGGGCGCGGTATGCGGGCGACACTTTCTTCGTTCTCAAACGGGAAATGATCTCGGATTTCCACACACTACTAAACTCTGTCCTTCCAGATATGCAATTCACTATGGAGATAGAGAACAACCATCAGATGGCGTTTCTAGACGTTCTGGTCCATCGCAAGTTTAACCAGAGCCTGAAAACGACGGTTTACAGGAAGACAACTAACACTCGCCAAGTCCTGTCCTACCACAGCAATCACCCGCTGTGTCACAAACGAAGCTGTGTTCAATCTCTCTACAAGCGAGTTGACACTCACTGCAGAGAACCGGCCGACAAGGTAGCCGAACTCCGCCATCTTCGGCGGATGTTCACCTCCAACAGTTACCCCCGCAGCTTTAGGGATCTCAGCAGACTGTCCAGAACACTAATTAAGTTAACCGCAAATAAACCGAAATTCTGGCGAGCGCTGAAATTTACTGCGAACGTTTCGGAGGCAGTTGATCGTATCTTACAACCATTGAATATCATCATCGCCCATTAGCCTGAATCGACAACTAGACGTCTGGCCATGAGAACAAAAACGCCCCTACCACGAGGCGAAACGCAAAACTGCAAACGTCTTCTATCGGATCCCGTGTAGTTCCCACGAAACGGACTACGTTGGAGAAACCGGAAAAAAGATTGCAGACCCGCATAGACGAACACGTGAGAGCTGTACAAAGGATATATCAACTCTCGCTGGTGGCAAACATTGCGCAACTTCTGATTATGCCTTCGCCTATAAGAGGACGAAGCCTTAGGTCAAGGGAGCGATCAAACGGTCAGGGAGACGCTCGAAGCCTGGCGCCCCACAACTACCTCGATCAAGCGCTGCGTAACTTTGCCGGCTGCCTTCTAAACCCTAGGGATGAATTTCAACTAGAAGGGCCACCGTCGAGGCGTCAAGACAGAGACGGCAGTAGTTAAACCCAGACCAGACGCGAACATGGACGGGCACAGACAAGCATTCGGGACGGACAAAAACAGGGGACAACCGGCGGCGAACATACACGACCACTCGGTGAGAACTTCCGACAGTAAAAGGACTCCCCAGCCCGACGTCAACAGTGGCATGGCAATCACCGTCCACACGGTTACGGGCAGGTGCGTACGGGACAGGAAGGTGAGATACGCGGAGGACGGATAACGGACAATTCAAACAAGACCAATTGCCCCGGTCACCCGGACGCCGCTGCCTTCCCTTCCCCCCGAAGAAGGATGAGGAGGAACCGATGTTCCCAAGACAACAATCGCCAAGCCTTTTGTGCAGCGCACTGGAAGTCAGTGACACGCCAGCACGAAGGGAACCCCTTAAATACTCTGACGTGCAGTACGCAACCCACCTCCGATGATGGAAGCATATCTGCTTTCGAAACGTCAGGCAAATAAATCCATGTTTCCTGTGATCGTCTTATCTTCTCATATATAGGTATATATATATATATATATATATATATATATATATATATGCGGTCATCATTTGCCCCATAATTTTTTGATCCATGGACGTCCCCTCATGGACTATTTTTGCAGTGCTTCGTGTGCATCAACGCTAATTTCCAATGGTTGACAGAGATAAAAGTCGTTTTATGACACCTATGAAGTTTATTTTCAGTATTTTGTGCATGCTTCTTAGTCATATGCACAGCGTGGGAGCTGCGTTTTTATATCTTTAAAAAGAATGAATGAATAAACTCGGTCTATTGTCAGAAATAGTACTGGTTTTCGGGTCCACAGATCGCTCATCATGATATCCGTGTATAGTTTTTCGAAAATATTTGGAAATACGTGAAGCATACGAAGAACAGCAGTGTCGGTTTGATGCTCATCGTAGTTTAGCTCAAAGCTAGCGTAGCCAAAGACGTCAAAAAAGGTAAAGCTAATCGGCTCAGAATTTTCATCTGCTATACCTTCGATGAAATCCAGATAAGTGTCGGCCTGAAAGTTAATTGATATCGCACCAATAAAGCGACAGAAGTAAAATTGTTTTTATTTAAATGACAGATATTAGATGATTGTACAATAATGCACACCATTTTACAGATTCTGTAGATGCTCAGAATCTATATGTTGTCTCAATCTTCTAAAACAATCGTTTTCTGACTTGGGTTTTCACTTTCTTATCGATGCTAACTTGTGTAGGCTTAAAGAATTACCATAACAGAAAATAGCAAAAGTTAGTCTTTCGAAGGAGTTTGATCTGTGTGGGTGATGCCTAGTGACACTTGGACTGAATTGGTTCGCCGGTAATAGTTTAAGGCAGCCACCCGTCTTAAAGAACTTTCAGTCGAAATGAACTTAATAAATTAACGTCTGTATTGCAGAAGGATGATTAACTAACGTTTCCATATCAACCTAGTTACTTGTAAAAGATTTTGATACCGACTACAGTGCAAAATAGTTTCAAGATACCGTAATCACAACAGAAATCTAACTTTTGATTAAGTATATTTGCGCATACCCTCAGGATTTAGACTCAGTACGAAAGGGCCACTTACTTAGAAATTAACGTTTCCCTTCTACTTTCAATGATCTTATAAATTCAGATATATATATCTAAGTTATCCTTTACGGCAAACAATCAGTTAAGAATTTAAGTCGATATTTCACGATATAGGGACGCTACTGCATACTAATGGATATGACTCACAGTTTCTGAAAAGCAAAGTGCGATCCGGGGAAATGCAACATTGCAAAAAATGTTGTATTTGTTGGGTGAGTCGGACGCATAAGTATAACATTCAGTAGTGCTTCCAAATTTGGCAAATATGATAGCGCATTCTCTGTCCTCAAAGTCAGTATAGGAAGTGGGTATTTCAATGATAGTCAGCTTGCTTAGCAAATAATCAAATGTATTATCAAATGCTGTTTTTGAATTGATGCTGCTGCAGTCTGGAAGTTGTGGGGATTTCGGTTCCTCCATCGCTGCAGGGTACAGGAATTTTTATTAAGGGTTATATTTTATAAATGGAGGGATCGCACCTACACGTTTACATAACATATAGACAGTTCACATGAAAACCGATTATAAACCCATATTTTGTTGATACCCTTGAAAATATTTTTAAATGCATAAAGGTATCATAAGGACAACCATGACATAATTCATCCGAAATTAAAAGAACCGTCACTTAGTGAGGTAAAAGACAAAACGCCGCCTGTTTGAACTGCTATCGCGGAACTGTAGATTAATGTTAATTGAAAACCTATGACACTTGATAATTCATGCAACGGTATATTTTTCTGCAAAAATACTTAATTCCTAATTACGGGTAATGATTTTTATTTAAAACAAGTAGACACCGTAGTTTATAAGCAATACCTAGCATCTCACCAGCGATGTTCTTAATATGAAAGATAATTAACGAAGTAATATACAGTACATTCCACATTTCCAAATCGGTAGACTTTCAGCTGCTTCTATTTCACCGAACTTACATAAAATGAGACATATATCCTAGCAGGACTGGTAGGCTGAATTAGCGTATAGGAGTGCATTTGCGGCGATAAGCCAACGAATGCAAATTTGCGAGGACAGACCACGTCCTGTGGATGGACCTATACCCTGATCAAACCATCAGCTATGTCAGCTCAACTAAGTGGACACAAATAATTAGTCGACGTTAAAAGTTCTACAAGATACTGGCATTTTTAATGACATTTTACCTCGTTTCGGGGTATAACGCCGGGTTTACCTTTGATTAGTACACTATGAACTACGATTATCACAATCCTTGTAATATGTATTAAGAGAGAGAGAAAGGAGTTTTCCTTATTTTGAAATAATAAATTCAAAATCTTCAGAAAAAACTAAGCACTATTGACTGTGGCGAGAAAAAGAGTTTAAAAAATTAAATCAAGCGTCAAACGTTTTACACACAACCGGACGTCTATTAAGAGGACAGTTCGAGTTTTAGGTATTTGAACCTAGAGGAAAATCTTTCCTGGGAAAACGAATAAATTTTACAATCCGTTTTTAGAACAAAACAAGCATAATTTTCTTCCTATGAATATTCTGAAGATAATTAGGTGTTTAATGGAGCACGGCATTTAAATAAATAAATGTATGAGATAAAAACGAAAGTGTCACGAGAATCTCGGTTGTTTAGCTCCCCCCAGCCAATATTCCTCAGCCGACCTCCGGTCGCGAAAATCGCTTTTGGTCACCGACCCCAGCAGAATAAGAAAGAAGAGAGTATGACCGATGGAAAAAGAACAAGAAGAAGACGACACTTAACACCACAGGTAAAAGTCGCCAGAATACGAAAGAGAGCATATTAGCCTTACCCGAAAAGCAGTTGAAAAATGAAACGAATATAAATGTGCCAACGGAAGAAGTGGAAGTAATGGGGCAGATGACGCACAACCTTAATAATTCCCAGACCGTGTTCTCATTTCCTGAGCCTAACTAAGAGGGATTTTCAATTAGCGCAAAGACATATGGCTATGGACCCAGGGTGGAATTAGCTGCCACCGCCAATTCCCATGTCAACAGAGTTAAAAACAGAGCTGAGGAAGCCTTTAATTCATGGGGGTCAAGCTATCCACAGAGCCTTCTGATGGGAGGCATTGGTGATAGATCACAGTGTGCAACTATTCACGATGCCTCAACAGGATCCGCGGATGAACTTCATGGGGACAAAAAAACCAATATGGCAGCCCCTTCCTCTTCTCCAGTCCACTTCGACAAGGCAATAGGGCAAGCCAACGACGTTCAAATCGCAGAAACTAGAGGAATGCTTAACAAGGACCACTGTGTCATAATTCAGGGTCTCCCAGGGTCCTCCGCTAGTACCCCCAGGGAACGAATCGCCGCTGACTTAGAGCAATTCCAGAAACTCCTAAATGAAATGCTGCAACTAACAGAAGGTGTCACAGTCCTAAAGGAGTTTCGTCTTGGTAGCCGTACAAATGGCGCTCGGAAGACGCGACCAAGACCCCTGAAAATCGTCCTAGGTAGTAATGACCAGGCAAAACTAATCCTTTCCAGGCGTTTTCGATTGAAGCATTCCCATAAAGGAGTGTCTTTTCAGTCGGACTACTCACCTGCCGAGAGAATGAAACGCCGCAAACTTGTCCTAGAATTGAGAACACGGCAAACCAACGGAGAAAAAAACTTGACAATCTACAAAGACCAGCGGCTGCTGGTTGGGCTCAAGAGAGAGCCCGTAAGGCACAACGGAACGAGTTAGTTCCGTATGAACGATCGGTGAGCGCCCCCTAACATTGTATAGTCCCGATCGAAAAGCGACAAGGCAACGGGCTCGTGGCCCGGTGAGTATAGGCGTTGACTTCTAAACCAACAGGTCGCGAGCTCGAGGCTCGGGTGTTCCACACTTCGGGCTTGGGTATGGCTGGCTGACGACGGCTAATAAGCCAGAAATGGTCATTCCAGTCTCTCTTGTCTTTGTCGGTAATATCATTCTGCCTATATATCAGGCGCCCCTGTGCGGCTGCTGGTTGGGCTTGAGAGAGAGTCCATAAGGCACAACGGAACGAGTGAGTTCCCTATGAACGATCGGTGAGCGCCCCCTAACATTGTATAATCCCGATCGAATACCGACAGGGCAACGGGCTCGTGGCCCGGTAGGTAGAGGCGTTGACTTCTAAACCAACAGTTCGCGAGTTCGAGGCTCGGGTGTTCCACACTTCGGGCTTGGGTATGGCTGGCTGACGACGGCTAAAAAGCCAGAAATGGCCATTCCAGTCTCCCTTGTCTTTGTCGGTAATACCATTTCTGCCTAAAGACCGGATTGTCAAACGACATTCTGCTCCCCTCTGGATCAAGCCGATCCGAATGACCGCACAGCTACCCCAGTATCCCGTGTCGGGTTTGAAAACAAATCTCGCATGAACTCGAAACTCATATTCATGTATACCAACGCGCAAGGTGTACTTTCAAAACTGGACGAACTCCATATCCATAGCTATGACATCCATCCAGACGTTATCTCAATAACAGAAACATGGTTGTCCGAACAGGTTGATGATAGAGAGCTCATGCTTCTAGGATATCAACTGTTCCGCCGAGACAGAGAAAAAAGAAGGGGTGGAGGCATAGTAACATTTGTTAAGAATGGCTTCCACGTTTCAGAAAAAACTGCCCAACTGACTTGTAGTACCGAAGCATTATGGCTGACCATAAGGGCACCGGGCTCTCAAAGTCTCGATATCTTGACAGTATATCGCCCCCCGAGAAATGACCCTGACGCTGATGCCCAACTGCTGGAGGGGCTCAGATTATTTTCAACGCGGCCGACTACTCTCATCGTTGGAAATTTTAATGCACCTCACATCGTCTGGAGCTCGGCCTCAGCCGACTGCTCTGAAGCAGCATTTGACCAGCAGCTACTGCGTACCACCGACAACCTGCTTCTCACACAACACGTAATGTTTCCAACGAGAGTTCGAGAGGGCCAACAGATGAACTGCCTCGATCTTGTGTTCACCAAGTCGTCTGACAACATCGACGTTGTGAATTGCCTCCCCCCGTTGGGTCAGAGTGACCATGTAGTTCTCATGTGGGAATACACATTATTCTCCCTGCCTGCACAACCGCTCGATTCCCGACCTAATATTTGGCGCGGCGATTTCGAACCGATGAAAAAGGATCTTAGTCCTATCGACTGGGCATCCACTCTTTACGGTGATGTCGAAGTGGCTTGGTGTCAGTTCAAAGAGTTAGTCCACAACTTCATCTCCAACCACTGCCCAATCATGCGCAGAAGACTAACAAATAGACCTCGCTGGTTGACTCCGTCCTTAAAGAAGGAAGTTAACAAAAAGAGGAAGCTATGGAAAAGATAGCCGATGGATCGCACGCCAGAATCCCTAAGCAGTTATAAGTTTCAGAGAAATCGGATCAAAATTCTCACCGCCAGAGATAGGAAAGGTTTTGAAAAGAATCTTTTGGACCTTGCCATGATTAATCCAAAAATCCTTTACAGCTACATAAGACAGAGCACACGGAACAAAGATCCTGTCCCACTGCTGCGAACGGCTGAGGGTGTGGAAATCTCCGATGACAAGGATAAGGCTGAACATCTCTCTCAGTTCTTCCGATCAGTAGTGACAAGTGAACCTGCTTTTTCCTCACCCGCTTATGAAGACGATGAAACGCCTACCCTCGAAGCCGTCTTCTTCACTGAATCAATTGTTCGGAATGAGTTACTAAACCTAAAAGAATCGACCTCCCCAGGCCCTGATGCAATCCCGGCCAAGCTGCTGAAGGAGCTAGCTCCCGAAATGTCCAAGCTGTTAGCGTTGATCTTTTAAACGTCATTCGTTACTGGATGCCTGCCCTCTGACTGGAAGTCCGCTACCATCACTCCGCTTTTTAAGGGTGGAAGTAGTGCGTCTGCGAATAACTACAGGCCAGTGAGTCTTACGTCCATCTGTTGCAAAATCATTTAGAAGACCATTAAGAAGGCCTTGGTGCAGTTCCTCGAGCAGCACCATCTCCTTCCGGATGCCCAGCACGGCTTTCGAAGCGGTAAGTCCTGCCTCACGAATCTGCTCTTTACGCTTGAACGCTGGACTAAAGCACGTGATGAAGGCAATGTGGTGCAACGTGGTGACCTCATACTAACATTTCGCATTATCAACGGCCTCGACTGTTGTTTAGATCCCACTGATTATTTCACGCAAGCTAACACGCCCACTTTGCGCGGTCATCCCCTAAAACTCCGCGCAGGGAAATCAAGAATCAAAGGACGGAAGTTCTTTCTAGTAACAGAGTGGTTGCAGCGTGGAATGCCCTGCCTATCGATGTTGTAACCTCCCCCTGTGTGAATTCCTTCAAGTGTAGACTTGACATGCATCAAGCTCCCAATTACCACCCTCACATCCACTTACATAACCCGGTACTATAATATACGTGTTTATACTACTTGTAATTAGTACGTAACCGCTAATTCTTACTCTTTTTCGACTAGCTGTCAGCTGTCCGCGAGTATGTACAAAATCCCCTGTTCACTTTCCCATATATCCATGTTTTTCTCCGACGACTTGTAACCAATAGGGAGTTCAAAGGCGCTTGCCTATATTTCCCTTAATAAACTGATACTGATTGATGCGTTTTTCATAGTAATATGAATTATATAATTTAAAATTTGGGCCCACTGCTCATTACTTGCTTACTATTGTGTTAGTTGGATCCAAACTGATTTAGGATCGACCGTCCCCTAGCACCATGCCCAACCATGACAGTTCTGTCCTTAAACTAGTGATTTCGGAAAATTTTAGTCTTTATAACTGGCATTATTGGAAATGCTACGTAAGACATTCTCGCAATGCATCGAATTAGTTAAATTCGGACCTTTAATAAAACGTTTAATGTTATTTAAATGCTGCCGTTGGTCGGTTTGCTCAAGACGCATCTTGAACGAGTTGTATTTGTGCCCATTAAACCACGCAAAACATGCCGCACATTTCTTATTTGCAGTTTTAATCGTACGAACGAAAATATATGAAATACGCATATCTAAATTCCCATAGGATTATATGCGATCAAAGGCTATATTTTTTTTCTGGGAAGGCAGACTGATATAAATTCCATTTGCTGAAAACATACGGTTACAACTCAAAATGCATAGTCAATCATAGTACAGCAGTTCATTTTTTCCCGTTTGTAGAATGGGGCTCGTGCAAAGAACTCCAAATTTTTTGTGTTCTGCTGTCAATACTTGCGAGCCGAATTGAATTCAATACATAGTGTACCAATTGTGGGAGAGTAGAAAACCTCACACCATTCAGACGTGTGCCTCCGCGGAAGTATTTGACGGTCGTCATTGCTGGGACACTTCTAAGCCCTCAACGCAGGTTAGATTACGTGCAATTAAAACGATATTAGCAACAGTTAAATTGTTTCCGTGCAAGTATACCGGGAGACGTATGCTTTTGTTAGCCTAAACGAGGTGTTTATGGATAGGCAGATTAAATTATATTTGAGTAATTCGCTAAATCTAAAACAAGTATACTACTTAACCAGGTTTAAGTACTTTTTAAAAGACATCACAAACTTGATTTAAATCGGCTTCGATTGATAAAAATGCTTGAATATTCTCAAACTATCGATTATCTTGTGGCATAATCCCACTTTATTTTGCTGGAGATTGATTTCATTTTTATTGAAATGCAGTCTATATCGTTTAATTAGGTATCGATCTGCATGCTGTCGCAGAACTCCAGAAGCCTCTTGTGCATAATAGAACCACTTTACACGTTTTTTTCCATTTATCCACAGGCATGATACTTATTCATCACAGCATACCTGTATCATGCGTTTACCCAGAAAAAAAGGAAATTCACGTTTTTTTCACAAAGTAGGACTTGATTGCCGCATATAATTAAGTCCGCAAACAAACCAATGATGTCAACTTACTAAACATCATCATTTATGTTAAGGACATCCTTCAAGAACCAGACCGCGGCAAAATAATGTTCGTCAGCGATGTTAAGGTCTGGCAAGTCATTAAGAGCCCGAATGACCAGGTAGCTCTGCAAAGTAATATGCATTGACTACATATGTTGTCCAAGAAATGGATCCTGGATTTCAATGTGCAGAAGTGTGCTGTCCGTCATCATCTTTCAACTGTCATTCAATGTTAGCATGGGGACATATTACCGGAAGGGTATTACTCTTACCGCAGAATGACATCGGTGTTTTCATACAGAGCAAACGGAGACCAGCACTGCAGTGAACTAAGGATGCAAATTACTCAATTGGTGTACTCCATGTGATCAGAAGTACGTTCATTACCTTCGTCAAGGGCCACTGCGGAAGGGCTTACGGCATCTTTGTTCGGTCTTATCCAGTAAAAGGCACGCAGGCGTAAAGGGATGGATAGCAGAGAGGTAAGCATGCCTCACAAAGAACAACACAGTAAAACGACGATAGTTAATTGTTAGAAATTACTATCTACATAGAAAGACGGCCATGCACGTCGGTCATAAACTTGTCCCATCATTCAACCTTTATTGGACGAAAAATGTTGAATAAAGCAGATGCGGATTAAGCTACATTTATTGTAAACAGATTATCGGGAAGCTTTGTGACAAGGTAGGAAACGTGCAGTGCCCCATGTGCAACGAACCCTTTAAAGGCGCTGGCACGCGAAACTAATGCTACGTTGTTGGCCTTGGAGAACTCAGGTGCAATAACATAGAGAGATAGACGCATGAAGAGACCTCAAGATACGGCTTTGGCTTGATTCTATGGCCTCCCTAAGGTGCAAAAAGACGTCGCTCCTCTCCGACACATCGGGTCGCTAAGTGGCTGTTCCGGCATCTCAATTTCCTGACCCGTGAGTCAGACACCACGGTCTCTTCGTCAGCAGAATTCCTGGAGAAACTCAAATGGGTAAGCCTCCATCCCAATGAGGTCATGGTATCTTTTGATGTTACATCGCTTTTTAATTCTATTCCCCAGGACCTGGCGATCGAGACAACCGAGCTGCTTCTTCAAAGCAAATGCGATGAAAAGGAAGATCGTCTTGGACGCGCCCAAGTCCTTCAGCTCCTGAAGTTCTTTCTCAGGACATAGTTCACGTTCGACGGGACAATCTACGAACAGGTGAAGGGCACCTCAATGGGTTCGCCGATTTCGGGGTCCATCGCCGAGGCGGTCCTGCAACGGTTACAGTCGCTGGTCTTCCAACACTACAAACCGAAGTTCTGGGTCCGGTATGTGGATGATACCTTCGTCGTTATCGACCGGGATCAACTGCT